TCGAAAACATTCTTAGCTCTTTTACCGGATTTTAATAAGAGGATCGTTGAGTCAGTCAATCACGGATTGCTCGTTAAAATTAAAGCAGCATCGCCGCCATTTTCCACCTGTATTCCCTCCGCTGCTCGAGGCCGCGTTGTGCATGCGCCATTTAAGAGAGACGGTATTTTCCTCGCAAACGAAGGTGAGAATCTTCTATGAGACAGGCTTCCAACGGAGGAACAAGGGGAAGCATTTGAACGAGTGTTTATCGCGTTGCTTAAAAGCGGCGCTTTTTCGCGCATTGTTTCCGAGCCACTAGCCAGCACAGCAGGCGGCGTCCCGCGATCCGCGTCACACCCTTAGTCCCATTTTATGCGAGGAACGTCCGCGTCGTTAAATCGTCCAATCCGCAACAAGTTATTTAAAGTCCGCTAGCACGGAACGCCGCAATTAAAGCTTCCTCGTGGCCCGCTTCGCGTGCGAGCCAGCGTTTCGCCGGCAGACCACCGATCATGTAACGTCTTCCTCGTGCTCTCTCTCGGTAATTTCTTATCTCTTCCCTCGCTTATACACGTCCCCCGATTTCCAAGGCAAATCCGTCATCTATCAATTTACCCGCTACCCAATTACCCTCGACGACTTTATTAATTCTTCCCTCGTGCCGGCCCCCGCTTCAAAAACGGGCCTAATCTCTCATTTACTCGTCCATACTCCCCCTTCTGCTTCCGTGCTAATCGCGATCCGCTTCTAATTCACCCCTCGACCTCTAGATTACCATTCATCCCGGGACACGATCGCGCAACGATCGCCGATTAACCGAAGGCAAAAGTTAGCCGCAAAATGCCGCTTCCGGCCGCTCGCAATCGCGGGCATAGATCTCTCGCGCTTAACGGCGAGTCCGAAATTAGCGATTTTCGCACACGCACACGGAACGGCAGCCCGAAAGCGCGCCCCGTCGCAGCAGGTGGCTCTGCGCGTCTCGGTTCCACTACCCCCGGGATAATGCTCGAGAAGGCTGTAGTTAATATTAACGGCACGCTATAGAGGCTGCGCGTGTTGTTCCTACGTAATTTCCTACTAAACGTACTAAGGGATGCCCATGCATATTTCAAAACGCCTACGACACCCTCCCCGCCCGTGCCTGTCTATCGCGTCTTTGATGCAGCGCGAATTTCGCGACGCAGCCGGTGGTGCGGAAACGGATAAGTGGCTGTCGTTTAGCGCGTCCCGACGCCGAAACCGACGTCGAAACCGATGCCGAGCTCCTTCGTCGAGTATCGATTGCCGCGGATAAGCAACCTCGCGGAGAGATAAATGCGCGAGCGTAATCCGAAGCGGTTGTTATTACCGCGGACTCGCGATATCGATGTCAACCCTCGGTCCTAACGAGCCTACTGATCCCGACATTTATTATTTGCACGCGGATTACACCGCGAGCTTCCTGCGATCGCGTCTGACTGATCGCAGGATGCTCCGCGCGCGCGACGGCTGATTAATCGCTGCCGCGTCCGAGCAATCGCTGTGTCGACTACTGCGGAAAACAAGAAGCTCCAAGTAGTACGTCCAGGTAAATACCAACGTTCTCCTTCTCGCTGAATATCGATGGAATTTTATCGTGGCTTTTAAGATACCGGTATTCTATTTTCCCCAGGCAACGTATGCAATTGCAGCGAGTCGTAATAAAGCCGGGTTCGCACGTGTTGCCCCGTAACGACCGCCCCTGCGCGGGACTTATTTCGCTATTTTATTAGATTAGGCACTCTTGGTCGTGCCGCGGAGGTGGGTAACAACCGAAGGAAACGCATTAAGGTGGAACGAGTCCGCCATTTCGGAGCACCGTAAAGGAACACGCCGGGAAGGCATCGCGGCGCCCTTAATGCGTTGCGTTCTATCGATCGAACGATCCGGTTTCGCGATGTACTTTTTAACACTTTGACTACCACGTTGGTCATATGTGACCGGCCACGGTGGTCACACGTGACCGCCAATAAGATAAACGCTTCATTGGCAGTTGGCAGTCAAAGGGTTAAACGACTCGTGTCGCTCATACGGACTTGTCGTGGGTGTTCTAAAAATAAAATCGGGGAAAGGGACGAGAGGAAGAGGGAAATGTTCATGGACATTCGTAACTTCGATCTCGAAGGAGAATTTTATTCGTCAGAGGAATTTTCATGCAGGCGTCGTACGTCCTAGTCGATCCTTCCGTTACTCCCGATCCTGCCGGAGGAATATCTCCGAGTTTACACCCCTTTATCGAACTTTGTCCTCCTCGTGTCGGACTTTCGCACGTTTCACCGACGTCAGATACGTCCGGCAATCCCGTTCGCATTCGGCCGCGTACGTGCTCGCCGACGCTCGCTCGAGCTTCCGCGCGTGTTCGCCGCTGCGCCACGCGCGACATCTACGTCGCTTCGCGGTCACGGCGTCGCGTAAAATTCCGGACGCATTTTCCCTCGTGCACGCTAGTCTAAACGCTGTACAATTGGTCACGTTCGGTCGCGGTGACTGGCTCCCACCGCGCAGTCGAACGGGACCGTTCAAGTCAGAGCGTGGTTTACATAATGGTCGCCAACTGTTTGCCTTGGCTTTAATGACACTTCGAGGGTTGCTCGGTAGACTCTGTTCGTGCAACTCGGCACGGGAGTACGCAAGTCGATCCCTAAAAATATTACGATCGATCGGGGTGTTCTAACGACGAACTAAGTCGTCAGTGTCGGAAATAAATCTTCTCGTTTCGGATCCTCGTAAATGCTTAGATCACGGGTATATGAGCAGAGGGTGAAACGGGGTGGGTCCTGGACGCGCGCGGAAAATTGCAGGTTAATTGACAGATTTTCGGCCAGGCTCACGGTTGATTTTTTCCTGAATCAGCTAAAATATCGCGTCGTTAACGGTCGTTAATGAATGAAAATGAATGGGCAGCGGGCCGGACGATGCTTCACCAGTGACACGGATCGCCACGTGATAACACCCTCGAGGATACTTTATGGACGGTGTGCACCGGGCTATTTGTATCGCGACAACGAAACGGTAAATGCTTCAACGAGCCGAGCCGCTTACTTTTTCCCAATACGCTGCCGCGTGTGAAATATTCCCTTCGTCGCGTATAAATTGGAAAACGGATTTTCCAAGGGACTTTCCGGCCCGGTTACTCGAGGCCTCGGACCCCGAGTCGTTAATGATTTCGATGGTGGTGGCAACACGAGCGATGGGATTAAACGAGATTACGCTAGGCGTTTTGACACGTTAATAATGCATCGAGGCGTCAAACGTCGGACAAAGGCTCGCGGTTTTTCCAAAGTTTGACTGTTGACAATCGCTGCCGCGCGATTTCGGGATAAATTTCGGGATAAATTTCGGGACAAGGGCGTTCGCAAAAAACTTTCGAAGATGGTAATCGTGGAAATGATAGCCCCATTCGTCGACTATAGAGATAAATATTGTGCCCGACATTGCTCATTAAGCGCTAATCGTCTTATTAAAGGTTTCATTCGGTCGGTCCATGGTTCCGGTTGGAGTTTAATGGCGCCGCCACGGAATGGCTTTCCGGACCATTTCAGTAAAGCTCGTTATCTCGTTAACGATCCGAGTGGCCATTCATCTATTCCGCGCTTCATCAAAACGCTCTGATCGCGAGCTCCCGGTTTTCGTAAAGTAGCCTATGCGCGTTATAGACACGTTCCTCCGAACACGGCTCCCTCTTTTACGACGGATCAATAATTCATGGACACCGTCGTGGAAATCAGACCGGGTCGCGATTCCAACTCCAAACGACGCGATAATATTTTCTCCCGACCGTCGTTTCTTCGCCGAATCGATTGAACCGGAAGTCTACGGGGTTGCACGTGGAAGAGAGGGTGGTTCTTCCTTCCATCCCACGGTGGGTCCACGCGAAACTATTCGCCGTGCGAATTTATCGAGCGCGTTGGTCCCTGTGCACAGCGAAGAAGACGTGACGCGATCCTGTTTGAGAAAAAGAATAAAAGAAAACGCGGAAAGGCGGCTGTTTTCGGTCAGCCCGAGGCTGTTTTCCGCTTCACGCGCCTCCAAGCGATTTAAATTCTCGTCTGCGCAGGGATTCTTGCAAGCACGCGAGGCACTATGCAAAGTTACTCTTAAATTTGAAACGCGACAATGAGTTTACGGCGGGCTGCCTCGAACTTAGATGCCTCAGTGCGTCTCGCGTAAATGGCCATCGCGAGGGAAACGAGGACAGTGGAATTTTAGCGAATAAGGCGAATATGGGTCACGGGACTAGCGCGAGATCACGGTTATCTTGACCGTGAATCCTGCTTCTCGAGCGTTCTACATTCTACATTGAAGCAAGCTCACGCACGCAAATCAGCCGTTTGGATAAATAAAATTCAAGCTTGTCAACTCTGCCAGGGTACGGGACAAAGCGGCTGGATTTACTTTTGTACTTTCTACGCTCTAAACATACGATCACCATAAACAGAGGATATCGCTAGTTTACTCGTGGCACACAGCGAGGAGGTAGACACGGAAGCACCGATAAGCCTGCGCGTTACTTCCGAGAACGGTCTTTACTCTCTCTCGCGAATCGTTTGACAGCGATTCCGAGGGAACTCTGCATATTTTTAGAACCGGAGGACACGTATTTTCTCTTAGCTGGCTCGAGTTTAACGGGCTAAGGGATTACCCTTTTCTCTTATACTCGAGCCGCCTGGGCGAACCGAGAAACACGCGTCCCCTCGAAACCGCAAAGTCGACCATCGAAATTTTGCGAAATCTCGACCTGTCCTCTTTCTCTGATCGCACGCGTTGCCCCGATCGATTCAGCCTGCGTGCACGCGGGATGCATGGTGCAAAGTGTGCGGCGTAACGGAGGGCAGCTCGGTGAGGATTCGACTCGTGGCGAACGCGGGGGTGGTGCGTGACGCGTGTTGGAGTGCGTGTCGAAGAAAATGGCGAAAATCGGAGGGAAACGGCGCGGAAAGACGCGAGAAACGAAAGAAGAGCGGGAGAGGGAGGGCCAGATGAGAGAATGCAAGCCTCACCTGTGCTCTGGCCACTACGTAGCTTCTGCTCTGGCCTCTCCACCCTCTCCTCGCTCGGGGGTGGCGGCCTCTCTGTCCTTTTCGTATAGTACGGGTTGTACGAGGATGGCCACACGGTGGTCGGCCTTTTTGCTGGTGACGGCGTGCTCGGTCGTCCTGAAAATAGATTAGGACCTTTCTCATCTAACCCAGCCAACTCTCTTCTTCTCCCTCTCCTCCTCTCCGTTGCTTTCCTCTTTACGAACACGTTTTCCTTTCTATTTATGTACTCGTCTTTCTCATTCCCCCATTCTCTCTCTCTCTCTCTTTCGCTGTTCTCTTTTCTTAACTTAACCCGAGCGTCGTTTCTCTATCCTTTAATCCTCGCCGATGCATCTGGTCCTCGCGCAACCATTGCGCGCCGCACGGGGCCCCGCAACCGAACCAAATTCACGGCTAGACCGTCGCAATCGAGTCGATCTATTTCTTAATTGAATCTCGATCACAGCTGCGCGAGATCGTTACCTAACCGTTGCACGTTCGATCCGATGCATGGCTAAGGAAACTGTCGCCTCCGGTTTTCCTGTCCGACCGATTAAACCGGAATTCCATTCGATATCGACTCTCGAAACAGGTCTCCTGTCCTTTACGCGCATTCCTAGGGTACGGAGCGAGAAGAAAGTTTAAGCAAATACTGGGAAAGATATTTTATCCTGATCCAGCGGAACTTGGAACACCCTTCGCGCCCCAACTTTCTAAAAACGTGCTCGGAGAGCCATCAGCGCCACTTGACGGGCACTGTACGAGAGACTGGAAGTTGGAAAACTACGAAACCACCGAGCCGAGCCCTATTATCTGCCAAAGTCGCTTGGTAATCCGGCCGCGATTAGTTCGAGCTTCGTGATCGTCGTTTTTGCCGCGCGAGATGATGCCCTCTTTGAAGCAACGATCAGCGTTTCCGCGAGTCTCGCCGTACAAAGGGGAACACGCGGACGCGTCGAACGAGAGTTTGAAAAGGCGCATTCAGCGACGGAGGGCGAACACGCTGCGATCGTTCTCGGGGAGGAAACGCAGACGGAAAGTCCCCTCGATCGCTTCACGCGGAGCGGTGTTTCGAGTGGTCGCGTTGAAAACGACCGCACGCGGCCGCGCCGACGCGCCGGGTTGATGAATTCGGCTGGCTTCTTTGAAAAGCAGCCAAGTTCAACTTGTTGCGTTCGATGGCGGCGGACGTTCCATTGAACCGTGCGGCGCGGCACCGGCAGCGACCGTCAGAGAGGAAGAGACACGAGAAGAGTCGTGATGAGACGAAACGTGGCGAAACGAAAAATTTCGACGATTCTCGGGGTAGTTCGCAATGGAATGCTCGGTACAACGGTCTCGGAGATCTAATCGGTGGAGCGAGTGGCGTCGCGGCGCGCCATCGGTTTCCGGATGGTCGAGGAGGAGAAGCGCGTCGGAGGATCGGCGAATAAGTGACCCATGGATCGCAAGTGTATTATTATGTCGTAACCCCGTGGAACGAGTCGGTACGTTGCATTCGGTATTTCACGGATCGAACACGGTCAGAGAGATCCACTCGAGCTTGCTCGAGGATTCGGAAGTTCGCTCACGCGAGATACGTCCCCTCGAAGGGCGCTCGAAACTGGAATTTCTTTAAGGACGCGAGCACGCCACCGTTTCGAAACTTCGCCGGCATTCCGTCGTCTCCAAGCTGCCGTGCCTTCTTTTTCCCCTCCATTTTCCCCGCGCCGGAAGAATCGAGCCCTCTCTTAATTCTCCAACTTGCCTCCAAGCTCCTTCAACTTGGCCAACTGCCACGCGAAGCCGTCGATTCGAGAACGCGTTACGCAAATGTGTCCATTAGCCGAGTTTGCCTAATAAGCAACGGGTGCCGATAAAACTGCCGCCGCGAGCGATACCGTGCAACGTCATTTCCCAGGTGGGACGAAATTTTCTGCGATTGGATAAGACCCGAGTACGTCGCGGTTTTTATTCGACTAGGAGTTTCCGCCGGTCTAACCAACTCGAGCTGCGGCGTGTATACGTAGCGAAAACAAAACGGAATACCCAAACTGAAGTCTAAGGTCTACAACCGCTGGAGGCAGCCCCGGGGCAATCTTTGCGCAGAGAAGATTGAAACTTTGCTTGGATGGTAATTTTGCGTGGCGCGCATCAACCAAGGGTGCAATTCGGATTCATGTCCAACACGGGACTCTATACCGTTGTACGTACCGTTACCCTTTATATACACAGTTATGGCCTGGTAAGATGGTTCGCCACTTATTTCTTGCCCGCCCACCTTCTCGCCGCCGCCGCTATGATCGCGCGGAATATTCGCAGCCGTCCCAGGCGTACCGTATAATTATACGACGCGTTTGTCAAGTTTCGTTTGTCGTTTGGGGGATATTTATTCGCCGATAAAACGATCCACGCGGCCCCCATGCCACGTTCCTCCGGATAAAATTTACGTTTCCGGAGTTTTCGTCGTAATAAGAACGTTCAACACCGATTACGAGAAGAGCGGGAGGAATTTCCGGAAAATTTCGCCCGGCTCGTTAACAATTTGCCATAAGCATGCGAGATTAAACGCCGGTTCGGGGGACAAGAAATAATTAATTCGAGGATAGAGGGGGCAGGTTTCAGGCTGCGAATAAGAAGTAGCTTCGTCCAAAAATAAACAGGTGAGCGGGCTAGCTGGGCGAATTTCGTGAGCGGCATCCACTCAATTAATTCCCTTCTCGGATCTCTGGCCGGAATAATCCCTAACTCAGCCCCGTCTCCGCCTACGTTCCACTGAAATATTCCGTGTTCCCGAACGTTCTCGGGAGCGCGTTCCCTCCGCGTTTCTCGCAGGCGCTCGCGAGAACTTCGCAGACCCTCTTTCTTTCATTTCTGCCTGGCAAACAAGCCACCCTTTAAACAGCGTACCGTAGCTACACCGGGACGATGACAGCGGCGAAGACGGCGTCGGCGACGGCGACAACGACGACAACGATGGCGGGGTGGCGCTAAAAAGTTTTCGAATAAAAGTTTAAATACGCCCGGGCGAACTTTGTTTCGTAGCCTTTGCACCCACTGCTTCCCCATCGCCCTGGTCCTCCGACCCTGTCCTCCCTGCTTCCTCGTAACAATATGGCCGAGCTACCATCTTTGCCGAGTTAAGAACACGGCAGCTCTTGTGTATCCTCGCGCCAACGTACAAAGACCGCCTCTGTATAGGGTGTTTCCTTTCCTACCGGGGGCCGAGCAATCGCGACCAACCTCGTATTTCATCCGGTTTCGTCCGCCACACCTTTGTGCCTCTCTCCACCCTATTCTCTTCCCTCATCCTCCGCAGCCACCCCGTTTTCTTATTTCCTTCCCTGTTGCCGCGCGTCCCGCGCAACTTTCTCGAATAACTTGTTGAAAATTTAAGGGCTCCGTGGCACCTCCTCGCGAACGCATCCACCGTGAAACCGGGAGCCCGTGGACCGGCGTAATCGTGGATTCCTCCGGTTTATCCGGAGGGAACGGCCTATCTCTACCCTGCGATACCTTCGCTGCTCCGGTGCAGGTTCTTAAATGGAAAAGTTCGACCACGGTGGGAAATAGTCGGCTGAACGTTTCTTTCCTTCGCTGCTTGGTTCGGAGCCTCCTCGAGATAGTTGGAGGCCTTTGTGCGGCGTCGTG